GGCCCATCCAGTCCAACACTCTGTGTCACACAGTGGCCAGAAATACCAGTGCCATCAGGAGGTCCACCAGTGGGGCCAGGAAATGAGAAGCCCCCCCACTGTTGGCCCCCCCCCCCCCAAGCACCAAGAAGACAGAGCATCACTTGCCCCAGAGCCCCTATCTATACCTTGTGGCTAATAGCCACTGATGGACCTCTGCTCCATAATTCCCTTTTGAAGCCCTTTTGAAGCTGTTCTTGAAAAAGAGCAGTTTCTGTCAGAGCTCTCTCAGCCCCATCTACCTCACAGGGTGTCTGTTGTGGGGAGGAGTTTGTAAGCTGCTCTGAGACACCTTTGGGTAGTGAAGGGCGGGGTATAAATCCAATCTCTTCTTCTTGCTGCTCTTTTGGGTTCCCTCCCCCCTGCCCTAATGAACTGTCCTGTCTGCTCACAGATTATAGTACTGGCTTAAGTGTATCTTACCTATCATTTCCTCAAGGTCTTCCTTGAGTTTCTTGATATCTTGCTCTAGGGTCTGGATTTGTTGGGCATGATCAGCACTCCCCACGTTTTTATACTCCAGCCAGTAGTCTACTTCCGCCTGTTTCACCAGAAGCTTTTGCTCAAACTGGTTGATCTGAGAGCGCATGTCTGTTGGATAAATACAAGCCAGCATTTGGTAAGATGACAGTATAGGTAACAGGGTCTGCTTAGGAAAAATTAATATGTTTACAAAAGATTTACATATATCCCGGGTCAAGGAAGCATTTTAAAGACTCGCAATTGTTCAATTTTGAAATTCAGGCGCAAATCCACGTTTGGTTATCACTGTGTTTGTGAAGTTTAAGTCTTTTCATCTAGCTGCCTCTCTGTTTCATTAGCCTAGGTATCATGAGCAATTTTAAATAGTTACAACGGCTGCGCTGCTCAGCTAGAGCCTTTGTTGATGTGTCTAAGTGCCTCTTTTATGTTTCTCCACATGCTGCCACCAAACTATGCATTTCTATGAGCCTTTTCTGATATTGGTGGTATTGTGCTTTGAGAAGGCATTTAAAATTTATTTGAATTAAAAAAAAAGAAAAGAAATTCAAGAGCAAAACCAGGAGACTGGGCAGGGAGCGCAAATTTCCTTGCAAGACCTGCTGCTCCTGAATGGGACATGATCAATTACAGCCACAAATCCGTTCCCAGCATCAGGTTTGCGGTGCAGACACTAGGAAAATCTGCTGGGATTCAGAGAAGCGGAAGAAAGGGACCACACCAATACAGAGCCCGGGAACAGAAGAAAAGTCAAAGGTGCCGTGGGACATGTGTTTGATTTATATTTGTAGATCCCTAACCATGTCACCTGTTGCTTTGTTAAAGGATCTGTACAGTTGCCACCTCTTCGTGTGTTCCCACTGTGATAATGATCTACAAATATGAATAACAACAGTTCTCACTGCGTCTTTGTCTTTTCTTCTCTTCCTAGGATTCAGAGAGCCAGGGGCGTAGACTTTCCAATTTCCCGGGGGGGGCTGGGGCTGGGCCAGAGGCATTGCTATGCTAGGAGCAAGGGTGGCTGGAACCAGTTGCCCCCGGGCAGGGGTCTTTTTGTGGAAAAAGAGGTGCAGGAGCTCATTAGCATAACTCATTAGCATAACTTATCTGCATATGCCACACCCCATGACATCACCAGAAGTGTGTCAGAAGGCAACACCCACCGCTCAGGCTCCACCCCAAAAATCTCCCAAGTATTTCCCAACTCAAAGCTGACGAGCCAGCTTTACACTTTTTGACTAAAGACACTTTAGGTTTCCTTTGCTCTTGCAGGGAAGCTACCCTACAACCATGAAAATACAGCTCTCTCTAGGAAAACCTCCAGCTAGTAACCGGATTGTTGTTGTTCAGTCGCACAGTCGAGTCCGACTCTTCGCGACCCCATGGATCATCTCCCGCCAGGCCCTCCTGTCTTCCGCCGTCCTCTGAAGTTGGCTCAATTTCATGTCCGTTGCATCTATGACACTGTCTAACCATCTCATCCTTTGCCGTCCCCGTCTTCTTTGACCTTCAATCTTTCCCAGCATCAGGGTCTTCTCCAGTGAGTGCTCCCTTCTCATTTGCTGGCCAAAGTATTTGAGCTTCAGTTTCATTATCTGGCCTTCCAGGGAACAGTCAGGGTTGATTTCTTTGAGGATTGACTGATTTGATCTTCTTGCAGTCCAAGGGACTCTCAAGAGTCTCCTCCAGCACCATAGTTCAAAAGAATCTATTCTTCGGCGCTCAGCCTTCCTTATAGTCCAACGCTCGCAGCCATACATGACTACTGGGAATACCATTGCTTTGACCATGCGGACTTTTGTTGGCAGGGTGATGTCTCTACTTTTTATCATGCTGTTTAGGTTCGCCATCGCTTTCCTCCCAAGGAGCAGGCGTCTTTTAATTTCATGGCTGCAGTCACAGTCTGCGGTGATTTGATGACTAGGGAGCCATGTACCTGATGTTATCTGCAGGTCGTCTTGAAGAAACAGGCTCTGAAGAACTGCTCTTCCAAAAGCAGCATCAGTTTTAGCACAGTGCATCACCACCAGGAACTTCTCAAAGGCTGAAGTCAGTGAACCAATAGCAGACCTGCAGAGATATGTCACCAAGTATCTGGAGAAAGTGGCAGAATCAGGAGCCATAATGACCCTTTCACAGTACTAGCTTGCTTGATACGTTCGCATCAAACTTTAAAGCCAGGCATCTTTCCCGGCATTTGAAAGACATGTTTGCACTCACTGGAGAAAACCCTGATGCTGGGAAAGATTGAAGGTCAAAGAAGACGGGGACGGCAAAGGATGAGATGGTTAGACAGTGTCA